AGCTTTTATGGTATCAGAGCAATAAAAATTAACGTGAGGTTGAAAGGGGCGATGGCCGAAGTGGCGACTGGAACAAGCAGAGGTGATGGGTCTGAAGTTGCTTCAAGAACTTCTAACCCAACCTCTACAATTGTTCCCACTGCAAATCATGAACACACATCCCTACAGATTACTTCTCATAAATTGAATGGCAGAAATTTTCTTCAATGGTCTCCAAATGGTCATTCATGGTAAAGGGAAGATCGGCTATTTGGATGGGACTAATAGCAGACCGAGTATTGACGATCCTACCTATCAGACTTGGGATATTCAAAACTCCATGGTAATGGCTTGGTTAATTCATTCCATGGAGGATTCCATTGGTGACACCTATTTGTTTTATCCAACAACAAAGGAAATCTGGGATGCTGTTCATCTAGCATATTCTGATTATGCAGATACATCTCAAGTTTATGAATTGCGGAACCGTGTTAGAAATATGACACAAGATGAACGGGATGTGACGCAATATTTCAATGCTCTCAAGAAAGTGTGGCAAGAACTGGATCTCTTTCACGTCTGTGAATGGAAGGATCCAGCAGATGCGGTTCTCTATAAACAGATGCTAGCAAAGGAGAGGATTTATGATTTCTTGGCTGGACTCAACCGTGATTTGGACGAGGTTCATGGTCGCCTACTCGGGATGAAACTTCTCCTACCCATTGAAGAGATTTTCGCGGAAGTAAGACGGGAGGAAAGCCGAAAGAAAGTTATGCTCAGCAAATCTGCCCCACCACCTGCGATTGAGAATTCAGCCTTGGCTATTCGAGGACCAAATTCACGTCCAAAACAGAAAAATACAGCCTGGTGTGATCACTGTCAGAAGCCATACCACACTAAAGAAAAGTGCTGGAAACTTCATGGTAAACCTGCCAATTGGAGTCCACAATCTCGTGGAAAGGATGGAAAAGCATTCCAAAGTTCAAATGAAGGTGAATCAAAGGGGTCCAACAAGTCTGTTACACTATCCAAAGCACAAATGGAACAACTCTGCAAGATGTTGACTAACACAGCGATTCCAAGCACTTCACTAGTTGCTCAAAAAGGTAATCATTTGTCTGCATTGAGTGGACTAAAGGATCAAGGTGAGCCATGGATAATAGACTCTGGTGCTTCTGACCATATGACTTGTTGTGAAAAGATTTTTTGCTCATATTCTCCGTCACCCGGTAATCAAAAAGTGAAAATTGCAGATGGATCTTTTTCTGTTGTTGCTGGTATTGGTACCGTGAAAATTAGTTCAAATATAATTTTCAAGTCTGTGTTACATGTACCTAAGTTGTCTTGTAATCTTCTCTCAATAAGCAAGATAACTAAATATTTGGATTGTCTAGTCACGTTTACACCTTCTATTTGTATGTTTCAGGATCGGTTTTCGGGGAAGAGGATTGGCAATGCTAAAAAATTCTCTGGTCTGTACTACTTCGAGGACGATCTTTCCGTAAAGGGTCATATGGTCAATCATAATGTCTCCCTTACTCGAGAACAACAAATCATGCTCCTACATTGTCAGCCAGGTCATCCAAGCTTTCTATATTTGAAACACCTGTTTCCCTCGTTGTTTAGAAATAAAGATTCCTTTCAATGTGATGTTTGTGAACTTGCAAAACACAAACGTGTCTTTCTACCTCCCCAACCTTATAGGGCTTCAAAACCTTTTGTTCTAATTCATAGTGACATTTGGGGACCTTCCCGTGTTCGTAGCATTTTTAATAAAAGATGATTTATTACGTTTATTGATGATCATTCTCATGTTTGTTGGGCGTACCTATTAAAAGAAAAATCTGAGGCAGAGCAAATATTTCAAAATTTTCATTCCATGATCAAAACGCAGTTCAATGAACATATTAAAATTTTGCGTACTGATAATGGAACAGAATATTTTAATTCTATTTTAAATCAGCTTCTCACTGAAAAAGGCCTCATTCATCAAAGTTCACGTGTTAATACACCACAACAAAATGGTATTTCAGAACGTAAAAACCGTCATTTGTTAGAAGTTGCTCGTGCTTTACTATTCAATTCTAATGTACCAAAGTGTTTCTGGGGAGATGCTGTACTCACAGCTTGTTATTTAATAAATCATATGCCAAGTAGGGTTTTACAATATAAGACTCCATTGAAATACATTGTTTGAATATTATCCTGAGTCACGTGTTTTTTCCGAACTTGATCTTAAGATTTTTGGGTGTTCATCTTTTGTTCATAATCATGATCCTAATAGAGGCAAATTAGATCCCCGTTCTCATAAGTGTCTGTTTTTGGGTTATTCTTCTACACAAAAGGGCTACAGATGTTATTCTCCGGAAAAACGAAAATATTTTGTGTCTAGAGATGTTACCTTCTTTGAAAATCAACCATATTTTACAAAACAGGACACACAAGGGGAGCAACATCAGTTTTTTTCGACTTTCTCCACCCCAGATATCTCGGACTTGCACCACAAAAATTCTGAGAATTGGGAATATTTTTGGGACTGTATCCCTCCTAATCAGGGGTCATCTATTTCAAATCCTCATCCCAATTCGAATTTAACTCCCAATTCGGAACCTATTCCTCAAATAATTCAGCCCAATCCAAATCATTCGGTACCCACTCCTCAAATTTCTCCATTTTTTCAGCCCAATCCAAATCATTCAGAACCTACTCCTCAAATCTCTCCATTCTCTCAGCCAGGTTCAAATGATACGGAACCTCCTCCAAAATCTTCCCCTCATCAACTTCCGAAATCTGTGTCAACTTCAAATATCTCTCCTACAAATATGGATATTTCTTCCGCACCAATCTCCTTTTCCCCAGATATCTCTCCAACAATCCCACCTTCTAATCTAGATGTCTCAAATTCAAAAAACCTGGAAAACCTGCCGCCTACAAGTCCAGAAAAGAAATCAGTAAGGGGATATATGATTCAACCGATTCCATTAATGACCTACAAACGGAAATATCTGAGAAAGGGGGAAAAAATTATGCCTCCAGTAGTTCAAACTTCAAAGGTTTCTGCGGCTAGTCAAACCTCTAAACCAAAATCAGATGCTGAAATAGACTTAGCCGAACTGGATGTCCCTGTAGCTCTTCGAAAGGGGACGCGATCGTGTACACAACACCCAATCTCTAACTTTGTGAGCTATAATCACCTATCAAATTCAGTTCAGGCCCTGGTTTCCAATCTTGCAACCACCGAGCTGCCGAAGACAATACAAGAAGCATGGGGGAACCCTGCCTGGAAAAAGGCAATTTTGGAGGAAATGCAAGCTTTGGAGAAAAATCAAACATGGGAAGTGGTTCATAAACCCAGAGACAAAGCTCTTG